GATTACTGAAGAACATTCAACATGCTCCCACGTCAGCGCCACTTTGATTACTTTGAATCTCATTGGTTCTTTCGTTCATGACACAACACAGATATGACAACTACGCACACAAGAACCAACAAGACTCATAATTATTGATGTGGAGCTGAAGTGCCGCCCCATTGGATGTTATTCTCATCTATACTTAGTCTAATCAGGCAAATTTAATCTTTTTATCTTTTTATCACGTACCATTTTGCTTTAGAAGACAAGTATTGCATACGCTTCAGCCGCTGTTGTCTTTCACTTAACTCATTGATACCTTTTTTTCCTGTCTCTACATTTTTTCTGCCGTTCATTCTGCAGGTATTTCTCCCTTTTTTTAGGATCAGCTTTTAGTCGTGCATGATACTGCCTTTCTGCCACTGTTGTTGGTGCCATCACAGACTCATAGATGTCTGTAGATGTTCAAATTGATATCATTAAATCAAACCTTCTTTCAGAGCAATTTACTTAACACTGAGATGAGAACATCTAGGCAGTAATATAATAATTCATATAAATTGCTGGATAACTTCAGAACCAAAGTGTTCAAAACACAACCCCATTACAATCTCTCAACCCCGTTATGATCAAAGAAGTAACGGGGTTGAGATTTTTTGCTCAAAATGGCCACTGCTCTACATGTATTGAATAACAGGAGAGCACATGCCATGCATGCTATAAGAAATAGTGTATATTGTTGAAATAACAAAGATAATTTTCACAAGTAATAGTTTTCTATCTTTATTTGATGTAACAGGGTTGGGTCGTTGAGCTTGACAACCACAATATCACAATATATAAATAAGTTTTAATTAGAATAGGAGGTGGTAACTTGCCTGTGTCTCCATGCAATGTTGTTTAGAACACTTCTATGATGTCACTTCCTGTTTTTGATGCCACATAAGGATCAGTTCATTATTTTTATGGGGGGAGAATGATGTGCGTAACGGGGTTGAGGGGTTACTGAGGTACGGGACTAAATAATGTGATTTTAATGAATAATCCATAAACTTGCTTAGAAAAAAAAAACATTAACAGCAAAAAAGCACAGATAGATATTTATGGGAATGGCAAAATGTATGCACTTAAAAAGGTCAGAGGGACTCAAATCATACCAGTTTCGTGGAATGACTCATCACCCCCTGGAGTTGTATAGATTTATTTTATGATTGATGCGCTCAAAATTGGGGTGCTATTCAATGACAGTACAAAGCTTATGACTAAGGAAGAGAGCGAGTAAATTATAGGGTAAATTTCATTAAAATAATTTGTTACAAATTTGGCATAAGGGTAAGTAAACTGACTAATATTTTTATATTTGCATGAACAGGTCCCTTTAATTCAAATCAAGTGCATCAAATGTTAATGAAGACTCTATACTTACACTACCTACACAGTAGAGGAGGCTGGCGTTTTCTTTAAATAGAGCTGGTGTGGTAGCCTGGAAGTCCAGACCCAAATCTGAAAGATTACAGGTCTGGCATTGAGTGATGAAAATCGCTCGAGGGGCGATGGGCGATGGGCGACACCAAGCATGCATTTGAAAATATCACTGCACGCAATTGGATAACACTACAACCAATCACAACAATAAAAAAATATTGTATAAAAATACCCCCATACGCTTAGCTAACGTTACCAGCGGAGCTAACTGGTAGATTACAAGAAAAAACGTCCTTCTTGCAAAGGAACGATTCAAGTGCCATCTTCTGTTCCTCTTTTAGATACAAAGCCAAGTCTAAAGGCTCGTACACACCGGGACGAATATGGGCGCGCGATATTCGCCAGCGTTTTTCAACGCGTTTTTTGTGTTCACACCCAAGCGATTTTCGCTGACGATGAGCCGAGTGGACATGCAAATTCATTCCCTGACATTAGATGGCGCCCATTTGCTCTGCAATACCACTCCATAACATTCTCTTTTATTAAGATTTAGATGTAGTCGCTGTCGCGTTTGTCATATAGTTCTTTACGTTCCGACACCAACGAGACCAGCAGCTCTACATTGATCTTGCCTTGCATCTTCCTCGTCTTATTTCTTCCCGGCAGTGTAGACGCTACTTGGCGTATATCTTCTTCGCCGTTACGTATGTGTGCTCGGCAAGACCGTTTTGTGTTTGAGCGCCCCCAAGTTGTGTTTTACTGTAACTTCAGAAGCTCCAGACACGTGAGCAAAAGCGCCAATCTCATTGGTCGGATAGTTTTTGACGCGGCACGTCAAACTAAAAAAACGAACCCGAAGGGTTTTAAAAAAAATGACGCTTTTACTGTGTGGCGTTTTTCGTGTCGGTGTGCACACTCACATTGGCGCCCTTTGTTTAGTCACGAGGCGTTAAACGTCGGCAAATATCGCACGCGAAATTCGTCCCGGTGTGAACAGGCCTTAACTCGTTCATTGTAGCGGCCAAAGCCGTTTCAAACAACTGGTGTTCATCCATAGCCATCTTGCAATGTTTACTAATGACTTTGACGTCGCAGCGCTGTCGTCATCTCGCCTCTGGCCCGCTTATATCAGATAACCCGATGTGATTGGTGCAGCTCGGATACAAGGGCATAGTTGATGAGCATCATTCCTCAATGCCAGTGTAACTTAGCCTGGCTTAGTCTCACTCTGGATCTGCCATAACCAATCGCTGACGTTTGGTCGAACGTATGACGACTCAAACTAGTGCACGACATCAACGTCATCGTTCTCAGCCACTCCCTCTGTTCGCTGATTGGACCAGTAAGAAATTGACCGGAGAAAACCAAAGAATACACCACAAGCCCAGACGTAGTACTGAAGGAAAATGAAAATTGAGCGGAAGTAACTAGGAGGGCGAAGCCAGGCTAAGAGTAACTCGCTGAGCAAATTAAATATGTGCTCTCTAACGCGAGAGCTCTGGAACTCCAGGATACTGGTGTGGCATGATAAGCTAGAATACCATTTGTCCACATTATAGTAAATTCTGTGACGGCATTAATCTGCGCTCGTATTTAAAGGGATACTCCACCCAAAAATGAAAATTCTGTCATCATTTACTCACCCTCAAGTTGTTGCAAACCTGTATGAGTTTCTTTCTTCTGGTGAACACAAGGGAAGATATTTTGAAGAACGATTGGAACCAAACAGTTGTTTGGCACCATTGACTTCCATAGTAGACAAAAAAAAATACTATGGAAGTCAATGGTGCCAAAGTTCCAATCGTTCTTCAAAATATCTTCCTTTGTGTTCATCAGAAGAAAGAAACTCCAGGGTTTATACAGAGATTCTTAAATTGAATTTACTACCTTTTTACCACCTATTTTACTACCATCACAATATTTTTACTACCAACACGGCTTCAAACTTCAACTGTAGCAGTGTTAAGAAAAGTGACAAGTAAAGACATAAAATATCTTTCCAAAATGAATTAATAACATATTTAATCACAATTTAATAATCCATTCCCACAGAGAGGAGCCGCCTCATGTTGAGCTGAGCAACACATTCCTGTGAATTATCACACAGAAGAAAGTTTTGTTTAAATAACATTTATTGATTAAGTAAACCACATTCAATATACAGACCGACAGTAAAACTGTATACAGTATGCTTCAAATTAAACATTTAGCTTTATTATCCTAATGTAAAACGTAAGTAAGATGTTAAAAATACATTTGAAAGAGATAGATATTATGCTTATCTCAAGGACTGCTTTGCCAAACTATAACACTTTTTAATTACCATATATATACATTTTTCCAACATTGTGTTACAGAATTCAGAAGTAGGCTAAATGAATAAAATGATCAAATCCATGAAACTGTTCAAATGCAAACAATGTCCCCTGGCCAGTGTTGGGCAAGCAACTTGGAAAAATGTATTAAGCTAATCTATAAGTTACTCTCCATCAATCACTAAATGAAAGCTACCCACCAAACGAAATATAGCAAATGTAGCAAGCTAAGCTACAATAAAATGTAAAGTCCATCACATAACTACATCAAAGCTACTTTATTAAAACATTGAACTAATTTCACTCCAAGCCATCTAGTGATCAATAAAACTGTAAGACAAACTAATAGGCAAAAATGTCAAGATAGCTTATTAAACTGTTCTCAATGCTTTAACTGCTACAAAACCATGGCAACACAAACCAACAAAAACATCCTCACATAGCCAATTACAAAAACGGGAAGAGTGTATATTGTAGAAGAGCCACACTGTTTGGATGTATACTTCATTTAGGGCACATTGGGAGGAGACTTTGTATAAGATCACTAACGTTAACGTGGTTCAACCCACAGGAGCAAAATTAAGACCTGCTCCAAACAGTAGCAGCCTGGCAAAAAAAAAAAAAAAATGACGTTGAAGGTGAATTTAGGGAAAGAGTTTTCCTGAAGTCTGATAAGATTCACTATATGAACACTCTCTCCCCCTGCTTTCTCACCGCTGTCTCCTGTGCACGCTCCCCAGCTACCCCGCAGCAGCGTCTGTCATCACCATGGTTACGGCTTCAGCCTAGACCACAGCAGAAACTCTGCTGGGAAATGTAGCTTCTGTGAATGCTACCATGTTACTTAATCAGTAAAATAGTTTCACTTCTGAAAAGCTATTGATGTAGAAAATAGCGACGCTACTGAGAAATGTAGGTAAACTAGTAACGGCGCTGTTTTGAATGCCGCTACTGCCCAACACTGCCCCTAACCAATAAGTATATAAAAATAAACTTCCTTTATGTGCTGCAACAGATCCTCAGCTCTTCCATGTCCCAGAAATTGTGAGCCAAAATACCTCGAGCTGACACAGCCATCCTCCAAAAAACGAATGTGTATGTCCATTTGTTCTTTCTTTGACGATTCATTCAGACTCTCATCAAACATAAGTACGTATGGTCCGGCATGATTTATAGCTTCTACCAGTTGCTTCTTAAAATAGGGGGCGATGCCAAATTTGATTATGTAGCTGGTCTTGTCTTTGGCCAAAGCATGCGATTTGGGAATCCGGGAACATCATGCTAAACAGCTCTCCTTTGCCATCATTGGACTTGAACGAGTGGTTTTTCACTGCCAAAACTAAACACCATAGTACTTCAGCCTGTAGCGTAACGGTGGTGGTGCAGATCGTCTGTATGCTGGTGGTGGGATTACTGGCAGTGGACTGCGAGGAGCGAGCAGGCAAGGTTGAGGGAGCAGTGGAGGTTGATGGCGTCGATGTAGCCGTTGGTCCAGCGCAAAACAGCGACAGTGGTAGCTGGGTGTTACGTCCTCCCCGCATCCTGGCTTTGTGGCTAGTAGACTCCCTGTGGGAATTAACCGCCTTCACCCCCATCCAAGTAATATTTATCGTTTTCTTGCAAACGTTGCAAAAAGCTTCTCGACTGTTTCCAACTACTGGCCTAAGCCAGTCTTTTAACCGAGCATCCTCCAGCCAGAGGTCCGAAAACTTGCACGTTGGGTGGTTCAAGCTTTCTTTGCCCGACCTTTCTTTTCTCTGTCTTTGGGTCCGACTCAAAATAAAAATAAATTCATGGAAGTTTAGTAAGGAAATAGGCCTGCACACGTAAGTTACCCTAATTGAAAACCATATAGACCCAGTTAGATAGGGCTTCGAAAATGTACTACCTTGTCAGATGACGTTTACTACTTTTTACTGGCCTTAATTTGGCATAATTTAATTTACTACCTTTTACAACCCCGCGGAAACCCTGAACTCATACAGGTTTGCAACAACTTGAGGGTGAGTAAATGATGACAGAATTTTAATTTTTGGGTGGAGTATCCCTTTAAGCTTGAGCACGTCTTCAGGTGAGGTCTCGGTGAGCCTTCAGGTGAGCATGCTGTCCCGGGGTAACACTTTTCCTGCTGTTAGACAAAGTGGCACTCATGTTTGTTTTTGAAAATTCATTAGCTTACCTTGACAGTCTGAAGAACTAGGAGTGATTTGTTGCTGTAAAATAGACGTTTTGTAAGTACTGGGGTTAATTCCTTTTTTGACAGTAATTGTATTTTTTAGCTAATGTTACCTTACAGTGGTGGTGACAAGACTAACGTTAACATTACAGGGTGGTGAAGTAACTTAAGTTAGCTTTCTAGCTAAGTTGTAGACACTTCCAATTTAACGTTGACGTTGACAACCTTCTAATTTTCTCCCGTGCTGGGTTTGATATAGAGCAGCCGTTGCCTATCTTGTCAACTGTAAAAGTAACAACGCAAGTCGATTTTATGATGGAAGTTAAATCAACAGTCTTGTCTGTGGAAAATTCCACCCGCTGTTAGACCAAGCAGCACTCATACAGGTCCTTCTCAAAAAATTAGCATATTGTGATAAAGGTCATTATTTTCCATAATGTAATGATAAAAATTAAACTTTCATATATTTTAGATTCATTGCACACCAACTGAAATATTTCAGGTCTTTTATTGTTTTAATACTGATGATTTTGGCATACAGCTCGTGAAAACCCAAAATTCCTGTCTCAAAAAATTAGCATATTTCATCCGACCAACAAAAGAAGTGTTTTTAATACAAAAAAAAAAGTCAACCTTCAAATAATTATGTTCAGTTATGCACTCAATTGTCAATACTTGGTCGGGAATCCTTTTGCAGAAATGACTGCTTCAATGCGGCGTGGCATGGAGGCAATCAGCCTGTGGCACTGCTGAGGTGTTATGGAGGCCCAGGATGCTTCGATAGCGGCCTTAAGCTCATCCAGAGTGTTGGGTCTTGTGTCTCTCAACTTTCTCTTCACAATATCCCACAGATTCTCTATGGGGTTCAGGTCAGGAGAGTTGGCAGGCCAATTGAGCACAGTAATACCATGGTCAGTAAACCATTTACCAGTGGTTTTGGCACTGTGAGCAGGTGCCAGGTCGTGCTGAAAAATGAAATCTTCATCTCCCTAAAGCTTTTCAGCAGATGGAAGCATGAAGTGCTCCAAAATCTCCTGATAGCTAGCTGCATTGACCCTGCCCTTGATAAAACACAGTGGACCAACACCAGCAGCTGACATGGCACCCCAGACCATCACTGACTGTGGGTACTTGACACTGGACTTCAGGCATTTTGGCATTTCCTTCTCCCCAGTCTTCCTCCAGACTCTGGCACCTTGATTTCCGAATGACATGCAAAACTGAGCAACAGTCCAGTGCTGCTTCTCTGTAGCCCAGGTCAGGCGCTTCTGCCGCTGTTTCTGGTTCAAAGGTGGCTTGACCTGGGGAATGCGGCACCTGTAGCCCATTTCCTGCACACGCCTGTGCATGGTGGCTCTGGAATATTTCTACTCCAGACTCAGTCCACTGCTTCCGCAGGTCCCCCAAGGTCTGGAATCGGTCCTTCTCCACAATCTTCCTCAGGGTCCGGTCACCTCTTCTCGTTGTGCAGCGTTTTTTTGCCACACTTTTTCCTTCCCACAGACTTCCCACTGAGGTGCCTTGATACAGCACTCTGGGAACAGCCTATTTGTTCAGAAATTTCTTTCTGTCTTACCCTCTTGCTTGAGGGTGTCAATGATGGCCTTCTGGACAGCAGTCAGGTCGGCAGTCTTACCCATGATTGCGGTTTTGAGTAATGAAACAGGCTGGGAGTTTTTAAAAGCCTCAGGAATCTTTTGCAGGTGTTTAGAGTTAATTAGTTGATTCAGATGATTAGGTTAATAGCTCGTTTAGAGACCCTTTTCATGATATGCTAATTTTTTGAGACAAGAATTTTGGGTTTTCATGAGCTGTATGCCAAAATCATCAGTATTAAAACAATGAAAGACCTGAAATATTTAAGTTGGTGTGCAATGAATCTAAAATATATGAAAGTTAATTTTTATCATTACATTATGGAAAATAATGAACTTTATCACAATATGCAAATTTTTTTAGAAGGACCTGTATTTGTTTTTGAAATTCATTAAAGCTGCAGTAGGGAGTTTTGAGAAAACGTTGACTTAGCCTGAACATTTGAACAAGCATAGGTCCCACCCCCTTGCTCTCTGCTGCGCTGCAGCACTCCCTCCACAGCGGAGCCTGTCGTGAACGCGCAGGCTAGTAAACAGGGCCACCGATAACAGCGGATAAAAAGTTATATGGCACATTCACTAATAGGGACTAAACGTCAATAACATGCTTTACATTGACTATGGCCTGCCCATTCTTTGACTACAAACTTGGTCCTCAAATCATTATGTATTTTTTGCAAATGGCAATAGGACCACTAGGATGAGCCAGAGGAGCTTGATTTTTACACAGATTATCTGTCTCATATCCTACTGTCAGGACATAATGACAGTTTTAGCAAATACATTTTTTCAAAAGTTACCTACAGCAGCTTTAACTTAGTTAGACAGTCCGAATAACTAGCACTGATTTGTAGCTGTAAGATACAGCTTGTAAGTATTGGGGTTTAAACTTTTTTGGTGTGTTATTGTGTTTGAATCATGTGAGCCATTTGTGAGTGACAGGTAGTAGTAAAGTAGCTTTCTAGCCAATGTCACACACATTTAAATTTTAAGGTTGGCAACCAGTGTAACGTTAGATCCTTTTATATACTGTCTATGGTTAGATCACATATTTTCAGATTTAACTAATGTGTATATATTTGTTACTTTTTACATGGTTCAGTGGTAATTGATATCCGTTTGTGATCCAAATATGGACTTTGGTGTTGTTAAGGCAATCTGTAGGCCATATAAAAAATAACAGGATTTCTAGTTTTAAATCCCTTTCAGCTTAATAGAACACACTGTTCAACTGTAAAGTCAGTTTGTGTGAGCATGTATCTGAGACTGTCATTGAGTTTATTCAGCACTCAAAGCTGCATAGCAATGCTCCTAACTATGTACCATTGCGGTGTGCCTGAATGCTCACGGGTGTATCGCAAAGCAAATATTTTGAAAACTCATATGTACAGAGAGCATAAAGGGCTTGGATCATCTGTGCAACCTTGCAGGCAATTTGAAACACCCTTGAAATGTGTGGCTCAGTTTTGTATGGTTACATGTGACAACTTAATGCTCCTTAATCAAACATTTGAAGTCACAGATACAGGAAGGCTCAGAAACCATATGCCCAGTCAGAGGTTGTGATTGCAGGTTTACAGTTGCGTCCACTTTAGCCTCACATTTTTCAAGAAAACATACAGATCTAGATCACACCATGTTAGGCTTGTCCGATCGTGCTGTCCCCAGTTGTAGTCTGCCTAGTCAGCCATGTTCTGATAGTTCTGTTGTGGATGGTATTGAGCCAGAAGGGCCATTTGCTGTGGATGAAACTCTCTACTTGCAAAACATTGCCCTTCTGTATCTAAAATTACAGGGCAAGTTGTTACTACCAGCCAGTACCATACAGACAATCATTGAGGACTTTAAAAATGCCCATGAAATTTGCCTATCACATTCACTTATGATTCTAAGGGAGAAACTGAAAGAACTTGGAATCCAAGAGGCCACTATAAGCGACATCATTGATGAAATCAACGGGGAAGATCTTCTTAGGATGTGTAACGAGACATTTTGAGCACAGACCAAAAAAGTAAAAGTGTTTTTAAAAACAGTTTCAGCTATGTTGAGCTTGTGCCTTTTAGGTTAGGCAGTGATGAAGATGGTAAGGAGTGCTTTGCCCAGTATATTCCTATACATGAGACACTGGCCACACTGTTCAAAAGTGAATCTTAAAGAGAACAGTATGTGTCCACACATTTTCAGCCAGCTACAGGAAATATCATTCAGTGAGAGATGGAGGGGGATTTAAAGGCAATCAGCTGTTGAAAACACAGCCATCATCTGTTGGGGGTGATCCTATACCAAGATGCCTTTGAGATTGTGAACCCACTTGGTTCAGGAAAGAAAAAACACAAGATTTTAGCTGTCTACATGACCTTGACAGATATTTTGCTTCACAATAGATCTACAACAGATCACATGCAGCTTGTCCTCCTATGTAAGGAGAAATATTTCAAATACTTTGGCATGAACAAGGTTTTTGAACCATTGATCAGAGACCTCAAACTTCTAGAGGAGAAAGAAATCTTGACAAACAATGGCATGGTTGTGAAAGGAGCTTTAGTCGCCATTTCAGGAGACAACCTGGGGTCACATGGTATTGGGGGTTTTGTCGAAAATTTCAGTTGGGCAAAATATTTCTTCCGCTACTGTGAGATAGACAGAAGTGCATTTCTCAACGAACCTCACACATGTGGGACTTCAGCCTGTTCTCACGTAAATGCGTCTCTATAGCACGCATTGTGTATTATCGTGCAATTTATATGCGAAAATGAGTTTTTACGTGCATATGATACGCAGTTTTTGCGTGCATTTGATACGCAGTTCATTTGCGTGTAATACACACGCACCCCACACCACTAATTCTACCCAAACGTATAATACACACGCACCCCACACCACTACTAAACCTACCCTAACCAACCCATGCGTATCATATGCACGTAAAAACTCATTTTCGCGTATAAATTACACGATAAACACACTGCGTGCTATAGAGACGCATTTAGTGTGATCGGGTTGGGGACTTCAAGAACTGCACAATCCTATCAAAGTCATTTGCAAAGTTTAAATACCAGTGCTACTGTCTCCGAATGCAGCATCAAAATGGACTCTCCTTTTAACAAGCTTAATTATTTTCATGTTTGCCAGCCAGGGCTCCCACCATGTCTGGGGCACGACTTGTTTGAGGGTATTGTGTCTTATGACCTTGCTTTGTTTGTTGGTCACCTTGGTTCAAGAGAATCACTTTACCTACGTACAATTAAACACATGTAAAAACCAATTCAAGTATCAAGGAAATGATGCCAGCAGCAAACCAGCAGACATGTCCCCTAGGAGTGAAATATTAAGTGGACAGGCAGTGCAGAATTGGAGCTTTCTTCGGTTGCTACCTCTTTTTGTGGGTGACAGAATTAAAAATCCTTCTGATAATGAAGTATGGCAACTTGTTCTGCAGCTGAGGGAGATTGTTGAGCTTGTTTGTGCACCAGCTATTACAGCAGGTCAAGTGGCATATCTGAAAGTCCTCATTGAAGAATATGTCTTAAGTCGCCAAACACGTTTCCCTGAAAGTCCATTAAAACCCAAGCATTACTATTTGTGCCATTACCCAGAGCTTATTCTTCACTTTGGTCCACTTATACGCCTGTGGACGTTACGTTTCGAGAGAAAACATCTTCAAGCAGTGTGCCAGAAAATTGCACAACTTTAAGAATCTTTGCAAAACACTTGCAGAAAGAGTTATTCCAAGCCTACATAAGTGCAGGCAGTCTCTTCCCTTCAGCTGTGAATGTTGAAAAGGGTACAGAGTTTTATGTGAGTGATTACAACGACAGGATCAGGGCATCTGTAGTTGGTCAACATTTTGAGTCACAGTCTGCAATAGCTTGCAATGACGTCACAGTGAAAGGCACCATTTACCGAAAGGGGATGTTTGTTTTGCTTGAGATTACTGATGGAGAACTTTCTTTTGGAAAAATGTATCTCATCATTGCTCTCAATGAGTCTGTGCACTTTGTAACTCAGAAACATACTTTTGTGAAGCTGAGTGACATCGGTGTCTATTGTGAATTAGGAACAGCCCAAGAAGATTATGTTTGCATCAAGCAAGATGATTTGCTAGACTATTATCCTCTTCCATCATACAAAATGTATGATGTATTACTAATTGCTCTCCACCATTCTTTTCCAGAGGCAGTTTGAGCTGGCATGTGACAGAAGTGGCTGGAATAGATTTGAAGAGTGGAGCAAGCTTGTGAGGTAAAAACGCATATTCAAGATGTAAACTTTGGTGTACTTTTTAATAACGTTTTAAAGTGCGTATACTTTTCTTCCACTAACAAATGTTCACCAATGCATGTATTTATCACAGTGATGGGAGGAACCTGTAGGGATTTCAAAGTTGTAAATAATTTAAGCTTAAAGTTATTCTGTTACTCATCACATAGTAAAGGTTTAGGTTCCCAGAGATTTTAGGTGTGGTAGAAACACAAATGATATAGAACAAAAATATAAATGGCTTTCCCTGTCTTTACTAAATTCAACCTTCAACTGTTTTCTGCTGCTTAAAAGTCCTGGTTCATTACACAGAGCCAATTCATACCCTCTTTTTGTCATTAGCTTGAGCTACTTTTGTGCCGACTAAATGTGTTTTCTATATAGGTGAATTGTGTTACCCTTCTAGTTAGTATACAGTGCAAAGGGAGAGAGTATTTGAAATCCTGATTATTGTTTGAAATATCGGAAAAGTTGTAGATGCAGTTTAAACAACACAGTTTCATTCAACAATCTTCTGCCCTTGAATTACCTGATTCTCGATGGCAATCTGATTAAGACTGGGATGTATAAAACCATTGTAAATTGAAAAATGGGATTGTTTGTATGTCTGCACTAACTCTTTCTCTCTTCAGAAAATGGATCAAGAAATGAAAGTGGTTTGGTGTTGTGGTGTTATCATTCTTACCGGGTCTCTCTGAAGAAACTCTGACTTCACAAGAGCTTGGTGTTTAAAACAAGGAAGACCTTGTTTTGGTACAAGAAAAGGATCTAGAGAGATACCTTAGACCTATTCAGTGTCGAAAATTACTGAACGGATTTCAAGGTAACTGCATTTTCATACTCTCCGATGAAACGTTGAATAAACGATAATACTATGGTTCAAAAGAATGTTTCTAAAGGCCAGCAATATTTCACAATTTTCTTATTAATTCTAGAAAATCCCCAAACTTTGCAATGTGTCAGTCTCTTAATACTTTCTGACCTCACTACCTTTGTGTGGGCAGATGTTTATGGGTAAAGAGTTGTTGTTTTTTAATCAAACATTACACAAAGGGAGGAAGTTGTTGGGGACTATTTTCAGCTACCGATTTGTTGGTCTAGTGCGGTAGTTCCCAAACTTTATTAGACCATTGCATTCCTTCAAATTAAAAATGTTTTCATGGACCCACAACAACAACAACCTTATTTATATATCACCCTATATACAAAAAATGCAGCTCAGGGTGCTGTACAATAAAGACATTACATGTCAGGGTGTGTCACATAAAAGTAGACATAATATGGACAATTATATTAAAATTATATTAGATACAAATTAAGTTCAATAATCTATATGTTTCAATTAAAAAGTAATATCAATCACTCAAAAGAAAACAAAACAAAAGATTTACAGATACATACTTACTAAAAAGAAACAATTAATATGTATAAATGTTAATGTTAAATGTATTTATTTCTTTTCTCTAACATTCAGTGTCTTTTCCCTCCAGTTAACATACATTCCATCTCCATGTAATCTGTTCTTTCAATTGTAGGCCTTGCAGAGGTTGATTTGGAACTGGTTCCTGTCCCCTCTCCAACCTTCATCCCCAGCTCCTCAAGCACTCCTTGCACCATACCATCAAGCTCCCCATGCACTCAAGACACTGTTTGCAGCTTGGCAGACCGTGGCAATGGCATGCAGACTTCCAAGTCAACTAGGATAGGATGTCAGCGGCAATTCGATATAACAGGCAATAACGAATAAAACAAGACCATCACCAGGAGATAGAAAAGATATGGTGAAGGCAGTGGTGGATCAAATGTTTGAGCATGATCGTAACCCAACTAGAGCAATATGTCATCAGGTTGTTCGAAGCATTGTGAGGAGCCATCCGAAATGTTTCGCTGATGTTGCAAAAAATGGAGACATCCACAGTGATGGTTGTTATTCTCTTTTGCAGCAAATTATAACTAGGGTGGAATATAAAAACGGAAACAATATTCTTGTGAGATGACGCAGAAAGAGAAAGAGAAGGCCACGCAGTGAGGTACCAGAGGAAAATAGAGGCATGGCAAGAGGCCCTGTGGATCAGTATGGCTGTGTCAGGTGGTGTCCTGCAGAAATTCCGCCAGGTGAAACAGAGGCGTCATTGGATGGCATCAAAAGTCATCTCCTCAACATCTACTCAGAGGAAGGCATGAGTGGTGCTGAGAGAGTTGAACCTCTGATGGAGAAGACCTACGTCATTCAGCGCCGCTATCTGAACAGTATGCCTGCACCAGCCATTGCAGTGGTTTAGGAGGAATGGCATCCATTTTTCACCATTTTTTCCCACTTCAGTCTTTTGACTGATGTCTCCATCCTTGTGAAGTTTCGAGAGGCCCTGGATAACAAATGCAACACCATTATGAAGTCCTGCCAAGACGTCAACGGTCATCAAGGGGTGAAAGATGTTCTGGCTTATTTTGAACCCAAGGCTTCAGACAAGGCTGCATGTGTTCTTCTCCTCCTGATGGCGTACTTCAAAGAGTCCAAAGATGCCATTGTGCTTGATGTTGATGTAAGTTTATTTTAACTCTCACATTAGGATTGTTTTTTAATGTGTAGACATACACTCACCAATCACTCTATTAGGAACACCATACTTATACTGGTTACGGTCACCCTTTGTTCTCAAAACAGCCAATGGTCATGGCATGGATTCCACGAGGTGTTGGAAACATTCCTTTGAGATTATTTTCCTTATTACTATGACTGCATGCATCACATAAGTTATACATTAACTGAAGCTCCTGACCTGTATCTTTGTGATTTTATAGTATACAGTGCTGCCACATGATTGGCTGATTGGATAATTGCATGAATAAGCAGGTGTACAGGTGTTCCTTATAGTGATAGCTGAAGTTCTTGGTGAGTGTACAGAGTACTTCCTACATAACCCATGATCACAGTCTAAGCTTTACAAAATGTGTATTGACTAAAAAAAAAAGAGAAATCTATGGGTACAAGATATGTTAACAGTCTTATTATTTTCTTATTCTATATTTCCAGGTGTGTGCCATAGCCACTGACATTGAAAGGACGGTAATGCTACCAAGCACCCCTCGCTTGATTGTCCAAGGTAATGTTGATGACATTTTTTTTATGCATTTCACACCATCAAGTCATACTTTTGGTACTTATCCAGCAAGTGTCTCTTTGGTGCACACTCATCTGGTTGAACTACACTTTTGTCTTTCATCCCAAACTTCTTCAAAAACATTACCCCTCTAGCTCTTAATCTCCTCCTGGTTCAATCAAATTGTAAGCAGTGTATTTTTTTACATCTTCACATACACTCACCTAAAGGATTATTAGGAACACCTGTTCAATTTCTCATTAATGCAATTATCTAATCAACCAATCAAATGGCAGTTGCTTCAATGCATTTAGGGGTGTAGTCCTGGTCAATACAATCTCCTGAACTCCAAACTGAAAGTCAGAATGGGAAAGAAAGGTGATTTAAGCAATTTTGAGCGTGGCATGGTTGTTGGTGCCAGACGGGCCGGTCTGAGTATTTAACAATCTGCTCAGTTACTGGAATTTTCACGCACAACCATTTCTAGGGTTTACAAAGAATGGTGTGAAAAGGGAAAAACATCCAGTATGCAGCAGTCCTGTGGGCGAAAATGCCTTGTTGATGCTAGAGGTCAGAGGAGAATGGGCCGACTGATTCAAGCTGATAGAAGAGCAACTTTGACTGAAATAACCACTTGTTACAACCGAGGTATGCAGCAAAGCATTTGTGAAGCCACAACACGCACAACCTTGAGGCGGATGTGCTACAACAGCAGAAGACCCCACCGGGTACCACTCATCTCCACTACAAATAGGAAAAAGAGGCTACAATTTGCAAGAGCTCACCAAAATTGGACAGTTGAAGACTGGGAAAATGTTGCCTGGTCTGATGAGTCTCGATTTCTGTTGAGACATTCAGATGGTAGAGTCAGAATTTGGCGTAAACAGGACATGGATCCATCATGCCTTGTTACCACTGTGCAGGCTGGTGGTGGTGGTGTAATGGTGTGGGGGATGGTTTCTTGGCACACTTTGGGCCCCTTCGTGCCAATTGGGCATCGTTTAAATGCCACGGCCTACCTGAGCATTGTTTCTGACCATGTCCATCCCTTTATGGCCACCATGTACCCATCCTCTGACACAGCGCAACCACAACACAGCGCTGAATGAATGATGATCTGCTTTTATGTCATTTTTCCTTTTCACAAATGTATTAGCAATAGCATGAAACACTGATATTCTGATTGTCAAATATGTGCAAGTGGATGGGTTTTGTTGTTTAAACATCTTTATAACGATCGCGTTAGTTGAGCTGTATGCACAATGGGCGGCGCCATTTTAGTTTGTTTTACAGTTCAGAGAATCGGATCTGTTGGATTTACAACACGTCAATTCCTCCACTTCTCACGAAATACATGAAAGTAAGTGGCCGGTGAACTGGGAGAAGAATCAGGTCAAATGTAAAGCTACTTACACAATGTGTATCTGATATGAATAAAACGTGTCGTCTTATTATAATGGAAAGGATTATTATTGCCGCTTCCATAGACATCAGTGTGCATTTTACAAACTCAAAATCATTGTTTTGCTAGTACTTATGTGTATTTAAATGACTGAAACCTAAAATAAACATTATGTGGTTGAAAACACTCAATAGTTGTGATATATATCACAGCACTGAGGGCGTCTGTCTCTGGCTCAGCGCCAGCCAACGCGCGAAAGCACATTTGAATTTAGCAGTTGATCACGTGATGCACTGACCGTTCTAATCACACCAGTGTGATCGTACGCTCCAGGGACCAGCCAAGACTGATCACACCGGTGTGATCGTACGCGTGAAAGGGTTAACCGACGCTGATTTGGGTGGGTTTCTCCCATCCCCATACAATGTCACTTCTCTGTCTTTCACTGCCCAAAACCCGCCCACAAAGTTACTTGCGCTTCGCACTTGATACTTGCGTTTCAGATCGTTAAAATAGGGCCCATAGTCTCACTTTTAGTTACGTCTTTTATAGTATTTCGAAGGGCAAAAACATGAACTTTAACTATTGGCTTTACTTCTTCAATCAGCTGTCACTTTAGGTGCGAGGCCAGTAGCATATAGCATTAGCACCTCAGCTCCACCCACGTCCCGCCTCTTTGGCCATTTGAGTGACGAGAGGTGACGTGCTGCCAAGGTGGCGACGGCCGGCCCTGCCCACTTTAGGCTTCAAAAACGCTCTTCAGAAACATACGGGTGACGTCATGGACATGTATTTTTTTACAGTCTATGGTAAAACCCCGTTCACACTACAAGCGACAAAGCGACACGATACCATTCATTTCAATGGGGAGTGGGCGATTTCCGGCGACACTGTGTTTGAGTGCTGAGAATGCCCTGATAAGTTCATCTTTGTCCAGCGATTTTGTCACCTCGTGCTCAATTGAAATCTGAGCGAGAGCCGACAGCCGCTCTTGAAGCATTGTTGACCTCAGGTGTGTTTTTATTAGGGCTGTAGTCAACCAAAGATATCCTTAGTCGACCAAAGTCCTGTCCTGTGCAACGATCAGTCATAGAGCATTTATAAAACAACAACGAAAAAACATCAATAATACATAAAACTATAATAATAATACAATTCTTTGAAAATTAAGTGATTTTTTAACTGCAAAGTGAGGAGCTCTGTCCTAGGTCTGTGTGACAGTCACAATCGCGCACCTGACCACACCACACGCTACAAAAAATATAACTGCTAAAACTGCCAAATAATGAAAAATCCTAACAAAAGCTCTCGTTTATACAGACTGTATATTCTTCTTTACTTTCAAAGCTATGGGTTAACTTTTGTCCAGCCGATCTAGGCGTTTTAGACATAGCAAGCTGCCTGACACGTGTATATCTCGCTTACCGCTTTTAGGTGATAGCCCATATTGGTCGTTGAGCTATGGTAAGTTAGCTTTAGCTTGCACTCCACAGTCTTGTCGTCTTTTTTTGTAAAATGCAGCCAGACAAAAGATTTAGATTTCTCGGACATTTTGTCGACTAAAGCCAAAACAAGTAGCGTTCTTACTGAATGAATACAGCAAAGCTACCTATATTCCTTACTGAGCGCGAAGAAGCAGTGCAGCCAGACACAGGTGCAGTTCCCGAGTGTTTTACGTGGTGCGCTAAACTGTGGTGCTGTTACAAAATAGCCTAAATTAAAGCATTTAAAGTTGGGGATAAAACATAGGCTAATTATATTTAGAATACAGTAATATATAACTGCTTATAAAGGAATAAATATCAAGGAGTAAATCAATGAAAATTTCTTTCTATTGGTAAAAAAAATAAAAAATTATGCAACTGGTCGACCAATGAGAATGTCAGTCGACCAAGAGGGCATCGACCGATTAGTCGACTAAACGACTAAAGTTGACAGCCCTAGTTTTTATTAGCTTCAAGCGAGAGAAACTCCTCTCTCCGCTCGCTACAGTCACAGGCACTATCATCATGAGTCGGAGAGCAATGCTGAGGTTTGGATACAGTTCAACTAAATTGTTTCTGTAAATGTAGCTCAAAATCTGCAGTCCAGTGGTTTCTTTTGCTGGCACGGCAGTGACAGCAGCCAAGCTCTCGCGCACAAGGTCCTCAGCGTCCACATCATCGAGGGTTTTTTCTATATTTGCGCAGCTTTCTTTGAGGGTGTAACTTTCTACGGCCCTTTTCATTTCCTCTCTACTCTAAATGAAACCAAACAGACCATGACATGTCTCCATCAACTTGAAGCGCTCACTAGTGCCTGTAATGGCAGAGTCCACTAGTGGGAGGAAAACATCTCTCCTGAACTTTTCCTCGGGTCTCAGTGTCAAGGAAGGATCCGGATTTTGGGGCTCATACGGAAACTGGCGTTTGGGTTTTCGGCCTCGTGTAGTGGGGAAGACCATTGGCATCTCCATCTCTTCCGCGATGTGTCTAGCATCTGTCTGGGCGGATGAAAGGCCGTTCTCTCTGTATTCCTTTAGGAATTTAAGAACATATCCCACCTCGTACTGTAGCACATCAATCCCAACGTGTGGGCTCTGGAGCAGCTTGCTGACACGATTAACCTCATGTAGGATGTTGTACCAGATGATGACAGTAAGCAGGAATTTCCAGCTCGTTATCTCCTGTTCAAGGCCTCTGGCAGCAGACACAGTCTCACTGTCGCCTGATAATAACAATAATGTTGTTTTTTTAAATTTCAACAATTTATAATGACGCTTTACAATGCCATTCACCGCTGTCCATTGCACTGAAACAGTTATAATTCAACAATATAATCCTGGCACCGGGTCTGGTTTAAGTTTTTAAATAGGTTAAAAACACCCTAATAAGTAACACACTAAAATCATAGACTGTCTATCACAAAGCAAAATAACACACACTCGACTTGTACATACCTTTTTTTGTTGCATGATCGACCAGTGAAAGAAGAGCTTCGCCGACAGCAGGAAGCTGATAGCGCAGCACTTTCACACTCTCCACGCGGCATTCCCATCGCGTGTTGGATATGGCCTTTAGGGTCATCTGTGGTACGTTTGTCTTGAAAATCTCCCATCTCTGTGTGGAGGAGCTGAAAATGGTGTACAGACGTTGCAGCACCCCAAAGAAGCTCACAGACTCCACTGTTGACTTCGCAGCATCTACAATGACAAGGTTTAGACTGTGGCTGTTTTTTCCCCGCATGTTGCTACCGTTATCATACGCCTGCCCACTGCATTTTTTTACATCCAGGCCTAACTTCTCCAAATGCTTCAAGAAGACATCTGTTAGCCCTGCGCCTGATTTGTCAAGCACTGGTAGGACACCGACAAAATGCTCTCCAACAGTATCCCCGGCACCGATTTGGCACTTGACAAAGCAGTGTCACAGAGAGCTGCTCTATGTGTGCAGCGTCTGGGGGGAAGTCCATTATCACAGAGTAGTAATGGGATTGTTTTACTCTTTCTATTATTGCTTCCACTGTCTTGTCTCCAATAAGAGTAATCAGCATATTTTGTATAGTTTTCCCCAGATAATGGTCAGCAATCTCTTTTGTCTCCGCTCGTCTGACATGCTGGCTCATCACTGGGTCAAACTCTGCAAGCAGCTCCACCACACCTAGAAAGTTTCCATTGTTTGTTTCATGTAGGTTGGAATTGTGGCCACGGAAAGCAAGGTTTCGTTCTGCAAGGTGACATTCTCAGGCGCGCCTGCTGTCCATATTGGCACGGTGTGTATTCGTTTTTTCATGATCCTGGAGTGTGAGAGTGAGTCGTTCCCACATTCTGAAACCTGTGAGTAAGACTACTCGTACGCTTGCCAAATAAGGTACAGCAGAAACAGAAGACTGAATCGGATGATTTTGAGTACACTAACCCATACCTGTCAAGTATCCCGTTTTGGCCGGGAAAGTCCCGTATTTTACCCTCCTTTCCCGCCGTCCTCCCGCACTAGGATTTTCCCGTAAATCTCCCGTATTTTAACCTGCGTTATTGAAAAATAATAATACCCCGGGCGGAGTAGAAAAAAACAAAAACATTCCCAATCTGAGCTCTGTCACTAGCCTCGCGATAACTACAGGTAGGCTAATGTAGGTAGCAGTTGTGTGTGAGGTCAGATGATGAGTGACAACGTGGGGAAAACAAAAAACAAACAAAAACAGAGTCGGATGATCTACGCTATGACAGAGTAAGGCACTCCTGCCAAAAAAACAAAACCCGCATGTTCTAAATACCGCGATCAATGGGATAGCGAATTTACTTTTCTGAAGAGGAGCAGGGTGGGGGACAGTCACGCGTTTTGTAAGTTTTGTAACTGCGACTTTAGCATCTCACACGGGGAAGGAATGATGTATGTCAGCACGAGAAAGGGTGTTTAGCATGGTACGAAAGATTGTTACAGAGAATAGGATGACGTTAGACAACAGAAAAGTTATGTGAAATGAAAAGAAAAACTGCAAATGAAAAGAAAAACTGTAAAAGAAAAGCAAAATGAAATGAAAATAATGTGTGGAATGAAAATAAAATGTAAATGTAAAGACAAGCAATGTTAAATGAAAGGAAAATATACAAATAAGCCTTTAAATAATGCTCTTAATATAATATATATATATATGTGTGTGTGTGTGTGCGTGTGTGTTTTCATTTAGGCTATAACACCTGTCTTAAAATGTAAGGGATACTGGAGCTTGGTTGGGGTGGCGGGACTGCTCGCGGTGGGCGCTGGAAAATTTCCCTTATTTTCAAATCCAAAACTTGACAGGTATGCACTAACCATGACCTGTGTATCTTTTCTCCATTTTTCATCTTCATGAAATATTGAAATACCTGTCCTTGGTAAAATGGCAATGTGATTGGCTTTGTGGTAAGTTAAACTCCTCTATCTGAACGGGACCGGTCCTAACAATATCAATTCGTTGGTCATCGGTAATATGCTCTGGCCAGCACCCCGGGTCTGTCTCTGTAAACGGGGCTTTCTCCCTGGCATCTCCCTCAACCTCACCTGTCTCAGCGGTAGGAACTTCATCGTCATGGTTTTGTTCTACTAACAATGTTTGGTCATCATTATTGCCAGCAGTTTGAGTTGCAGACGGATAATCTTTATTTTGGCTAGCATCCTGTGACGGGGTTTCGGCCGCTGCTGTTGCCAGTAGGGTAGACTAAATAAAGCTTTTCTTTTGTTTTCCGATATCTTTCGTTTTTCAGCACCACTGGCATATGTACGTTTCAAAAAAGGCAAAGGTATAAACACAAACTATTACTTCAGATCGCTTAAGCCGGTCGTGGGGGCGGTAAACGTCGCCATGGTAACCGTGAGATCGACCAATCAGAGATGTCAGTGTTTTGCTTAGAATTGTGGGTAGTGTTGTATTTCTCCAGAAGATCGCAAATAACAAGGTTGATTTCATACCTTCCCAGCAAACACAGAATGTTGGCACAACGTACCCAACCTTCTAAAAACGTTTTAACAACATGGCCTAAAGGTTGCTATAACTACATTGTGTGGTGAAGGTTGTTACAGCGTTTGTCACAGTGTTGACATTGAACCACCGTTCAGGGCCATTGCTTAAGGTTGTGCCTAGGGTGTCTGGACAACCACCGGACGACATATGTAGGCCTACTCGTCACTGCCCTGAAGCGCGAAAATCAGCCTTTTGAATTTCAACCGACCGCTGGCCCGTCCCAGTCTTCATCCAGCAAGGATACTTGAGTATTGCGTTTAATTTACCCCAGCTAAATCAGATACGTAATTATTCAAATACAACCTACAACTTCCTTGTCTATTGTGACATTTATTTGAACATCTTCTGGACAGGAATGACACATTTTTAACTTTATGCCTAAAGTTATAAGCCATAATTGTCAGAGATCAATCAAGCTTGATTCCATCCACCATACAACAATCACTCTCTCCGGATTACTAGTCACACACACCTGTTCACCATCAACAGCCTCATCAACAAGCACTATAAGGGGGCTTTTACACTGGGCTCGTTTGCTGCGGTCCGAGCCCGAG